AAAAAAAAAAAAAAAGCTGATTCCCTCTCTGTATACAAATTTGAACTAATTATTTGCAATCCAAATGAGATGAGAAAAATATGTGAAAAATTTTCAGATGTTCCGTGTCTTCATATACCATCACATCATTTGAATTTATTAGCCGATCTTTCCAAGTTTTAACTTAGTTCAAAACAATTTTGAGGATATGATTTGACTCTATTTGCTTTTGAATTTGGACCGTTTACATTTTTTTATTTGAAAGTAAATATTTAACATAAAAGAGAAAAATATTTTAATGATTCTTCGTTTTGACCTCTTCATAGACAAATAAATACATTCAATTTGATTATTCGTTTCTATTAAAGGGTCCTTTTCTTGCCATTGGCCATTGCTTTTGCTTGAATATTTTACATTTTTGCGTAACAATCTCTAATTTAAAAAAAAAAAATTAAGGGAAAATGTCATATTCTACAGTTAAAATAATTAAAAAAAATCATTTTCAAACATTAAAATATAGGTCATCAGTTGCAGGCGAACCATATACTTTGTTAATACATATTTACTTGCTGCAAGTAGGCTATAAATATGCATAAAAGATATAGGAATAAGAACTCACGCTACAGAAACCAAACATGCATGGAAGATGGTCAGCAATGGAGTTGGATTGCTTGGTTGAAATCTTCATGAAGCTCAGCCTTGACGACCTCACCCTCGCTGTCCCCTTTGTCTGCAAATCATGGCTTGCCGCCGCCGGCCACCCTCTTTGTTGGAAAAAGCTCGATTTCCGGCGACTCGACGTCCTTCCATGGAGCAATTTCTCAAAAAACTTCACACTTCAATACCATCTCCCTTACTTCACCTTCACATACTTTTTAAAATTCACCACGAATCGAAGCTGCAAATCTGTAACTGACCTCAGATTTCCTCTGAAATTCACTTCCATGGAGGACCTGGTATTAGCATCCAATGAGTAAGTGTATAGTTACAATAGCGATAATGTTGTGATCATACGCTGCAGCAAAATCATCTATTACCGGCGGACCGAAAAAGCTATCTCATTATCTTCCGGTGATTTTCGTCGGAAAACCGCTGGAAAACTCCACCGATAAAGATGATTTTTTGCAGTGATAATGAATTCATGTATTGAAGTTGTATTCTATTAATTGTTCAGGTGCCCAAAGTTGAAGTACCTTGCTCTGCCAGTCATGTCTGAATCTGAACAGATTCAGATTCCACAACTTGTATGGAAGTGGAAAGATCTGGAGAGACTGGAAATGGCATCAAAGCCATTGAATTTCGCCGAATTGGTGAAGAACATAAGCTTGACTTGCAGAAATTTTTCTTGGTTGATGGTTTCAGGACCTATAAGAGAAGAGGATGCATTGGCTATTGTTAGATATCTGCCTAAACTGAAGAAATTGGAGCTGAAAAACTCATATTTGCCTAAGGAGGAGTTGTTGATGATACTGAATGGTTGCAGAGAGTTGCAGAAACTGAATTTGAATGACTGTATTGGATTTAATGGAGATGACGAAGATATCAATGCCAAAGCTTCGCACATTAAGGAGTTCAGAAAGGAAAGATGTAAACTTTATTATGAGTATGATTATGAGTCTGAGTTAGGTTTATATGATTATGTTATGTGATTTTCATATCTTCTTCATCTTTTAAAAGGCATAAGATGATGTTCTTTGGCACATTGGTAAGAGCAGGATTTCTTCTACTGTAATAAGACATGGAATATTTCAGTTCCTGATGAGGATGAAGCTTTTCTCTTTTATTTTCTTTGTTAATTTCCTTTAGCTTAGGATGAAATTTTTTTATTTTCTTCAGAAGAACTGTTCTGTATTCATAAATAATATTAATTAACATTTTTTGAAAAAGAAAAAAAAAAAGTTAAAACTCACAGAAGAGCCTATGCATTAAAAAAATTTAGGCCAAGAAAAAGAAAGATTAGGTCAAAGAATCTTAAAAAAATCTTATTAAATTAATTAATGATTTTTCTATTATATTTAGATGATAAGATTTTTTATGATTTTGATTTGTAGACGAATTAAGAATTTATAAACATATTTATTGGAAAATTTAATTAAAATAATAAAATTTTATTTCTACAATTTTCTTGTTTTTTTTTTATGGAAATTTGAGGGCAGAGACCAATTCATTAACTATGAAAGGAAATTACTTGAAATCTTCTATCAAGTTACAACAAAACATACTTTTCAAAGTTCAGATAATTTTCTATTCAACTAAAACCCTTAAATTTCAAAACTCCTGTTGTAAAATTTTTAAAAAATATTCAAAATATGCATAATTGTAATTTCTATATAACATAATAGAGGAAATGTTTTATAAAATTAATAAATTTGCTTAAAATTAATTTGAAATTTGACTTTAGCTTTATCTTTGTTTTAAATTTGACTTTTTTTTTTTTTTTTTTGAATTTGCATTTGAGTTACTTAAGCCCCACTCAATCCTCCCAATATCTCCCTTAAAAGAGTGGCTTAAAAGAAAAGACAATGGATTTGGCCTCACTCCATGAAAAGAATCATAGCTACTAACCTACTATCACCCCCTCCACCCCACCAAAAATAAAATAAATAAATAAAGATAATAAATAATTATTTAGAATTATAATTATTAAATAAGAGGAACATATTAATACATAATAATTTATATTTAAGAGGACCATATTAATACATAATAATTTATATTTATTGTATAAATAAGTATATTAAAATTTCAGGAGGACATATGCTCCCATATGATTCATAATTGTCAACTATATTTCAAAATAATGGTTACTATGAAGAAATAAAAAATAAAAAATTGTAATTTCGTATTAATCACAATAAATATGAGTTATAGAATTTCTTTTAAAATAAATTTAACTTATAAAAAATTTAGAAAAAATTGATGTTGCATTTATCTTAGAAAAAATTGAATAATTTTAAAAATCACATAGATTTAAAGATTTGTTAAAAATTGAATAATTTAGCTGTTGTAAAAAGTAACTTCCTAGCAAAATTTTTATTACGAAAATTCTAAAAAGGACCCAGATCGAATAAGTAACGCAGGAAGAAAACGATCTCAAACTGGAGGAATTATTTTGTTTAGAGTCCCCATTACAGAAAAATCACCTATTTGCGAAAAAAAGTTCACCAGTAAATCCCAAGCAGGTAAAAATTTTCAGCAAAAAAAAGTTGCCGAAAAATTTTTTCGTTAGAAAAGCTGATAAAGCTTTCGGAAAAATAATAAAAAGAAAAAGAAAAATCATTTATCCTCAAAGAGACCCTAGCTTAGAAATAGTCAAATAGATGATAATAAGAAAATTGGTAATTCACATACTAGAAAGTGCAGGTTGGCACAAATTTTCTTAAGAAAATTTTAATTAAATGTGACATCATTAGTTTCATATGAAAACAATAATATAATTTATAATCTTTCATTCCACTATATTTATATTAAATATTAAATAACAACAAGCCTTTGTCCCATTAAGTGAGGTCAGCTACATGAATCTTTTTTGTCCACTATGTCATGTTAAAAGTCAAATTCTCGTTTAAATCTAATAAAAAAAATCATTTATAATATTTTATAACCAAGTCTTTTTATGTCTACCTCTACCTTTCTTAAGAATAAGTCAAATCTAACCCATCAACTTTCCTAACCGGGTTATTGAAAGGCCGCCGTTTTATATGAACAAACCATTTAAGGAGACTCTCTCTAATCTTATCTTGTACTAGAGCTATTCTAACCTTTTCACGTATATGCTCATTTCGTATCCCCTCTTTAAGAGTAAACGACTTGTCCATTTGAGCATCCTCATCTCTACAACACTTAACTTAGTATATGCTTCTCTTTTAATGGCCAACATTCGTCACCATAAACCATTGCAGGTCTCACCACCATTTTATAAAATTTTCCCTTAAGTTTGACGGGAACTTTTCTATCACACAACAAGCCCAATGCATTCCTCCACTTCAACCATCCAACTTGAATTCTACTGATAATATCTCCATCTACTTCACCATCACTCTGAACAATATAACCAAAATATCTAAAACTTATACTCTTATTAATGACTTAATCGCCCAAAGTCACAATCCCCTCACTAGGTCAATTACTACTAAAATTACACTCCATATTAAATATTAAACAAAATATCAAAATTATTATGATTTAATGAATAATTTTCATTTATCATAGTATTTGCAATTCAAAAATCATTTTAGTTTGTTATTATTTTTAAATTAATTTTTTTCTTAATTAAATTGTTGAATCAATGCATATATTCACCTTTATGACCAAAATTGTAGCGATTGCAAAGAACAAAAAAAATCCAAGGAAAAGAAAATCAAGTGAGATAGCAAATATTGAATATTATAATCTTAAATTCTAATTTTTATGAAAATACTTTTCATTAAAAATTATAGAATATATAGAATATCACCATACATTCATATATTTATCTAATCAGGGGTGAAATCAGGAAGAGCTCAGGATGAGCAAATGCTCACCTTAATTTTTTTTTCTTAAAAGAATAAGCATTTTAACTATTTTGCTCACCTTCAATAAATATAGTTACGACACAAATTATATGAAAGAATTTTTTATTTCCATTTCATACATAAAATTAGGCCTAAAAAAAAGAGGCTGATTTTGCCCCCTTTGTTTGATTCCAATTTATTTAAAATTATAAATATTTTAAAATCGTAATTATCTAATCACTAATCTTAACCCTTATTTGTGAAATATTTGATGTATTTAATTAATGATCAAACAATCTTAATAAATATATGCTTCTAATTTTTATGGCATTAAAAAATGATAATTTTAATATTTCAAACGATAATTTTTTCTAACAATTTTTAGACCAAATATTTCACATATGAAGCTTCCCTAAATTTCCTTAAGATGCTAATGAAATTAGGCTAAATTGTGACATTTACTAGTGTTTCGTGTCTTCTATACTTAGATGGTTTGAATTTATAAACTTTAAATTTGATGGTTGAAAGTCAAAATTGGAAATAGTTTTTTTAATTTGGTTGAAGATAAAATTCCTTCGATTTTAATGTTAAGGTGTTTAACTTTGACTTTAATAAATATTTCTCTCATCACATATTTATATTTGTGATTGTAGCTTCAAAGGACTTGTTTGGTCTACAATAAAATGGGCGTAAAATATATTAAATATAGGAATTTAGAGATTATTACTGTTTGGTTTTTTGAAATAAAGTAAATGTAGTGCAAAATTTTAATGTTTGGTTTAAATTTTAAAGTGAAATAAGTGCAATATAAAATTTTACATATTTGAAATGCACTCTAGCATAAATTTTGGGTATCTTGAATTCATCTAATTTGAGCAATTTTCAAATTCACAATAAACTCGTTTTCATTACCACCATTTGTTGTTGCCGCCAACCATCGCTGTTGCGGCCACCACCACCAACCTCCAACTGCCATGTCCTCCACCACTGCCCATCACTAGCTGCCAACCACATCATTTACCCATCACACATCGCCACTAGCACTGGCCACAACCATCACTAAAGATCACCATTGTCGGCCATCATCACATCGGTAGGGGCCACCACTGCCACTACTGGTCATCAACCACTATTATCTTTAGGTTTTATACTGCATTCATTTTACTTTAATTAAAAAAGAAAAGTAATCATATGTATTTTGCACTCATAAAAATAACATCAAATTATTTCAAATAGAATACATTCGTTTTACACTACATTTCTTTTTCAATCAATCTAGCAAAACTCTATATACGATTAATGGCTTGCAGTTACATTATAATAATTATTTGAATCATAATTATTTTTCTCTTTCATAATAAATGAGCCCGTTCGTGAGCCAATTTGAACTCATAGATTTAAGCTAGAGCTCGAACTTGAAAAATTAATCAAGCTCAAGCTAGGATTAATCCAGCTTAAGTCTACCTGTTTTTAATTTACATCCCTAAATGTATGCATTAACAAATTTTTTTATTTTATTAAAAAAAAAAATCTTTTTTCTATGGGGCATTTACATACATACCATGCAACTTCATTTCATATTATTTATATATCTAACACCTAAAATTTTAATATTATATTCCTACCACTTATATAAAATTTTAATATAAAGTATATTTCTCATATATTTCATTATTATATACCAGCCTATAAATTTTAATATTTCATTTCATACATTCATATTTATTCTATAGAAGATAGACATGTAATATTAAAATTTTAGATATTAAAAATATAAATAATATGAAATAAAGTGGTATATATGTAAATCCCCTTTTTCTATTTACGAGCAATCCCCACGTTCAAAATTTAGACGACGCAAAGTTCTCATTTTTGAAAAAAGTTAAACAAAGACCAAGAAAATTTTTAGAACAGACAGCAACTTTGAATCAAAGAACGTACGGATTTCAAAATTCCACTAAGAAATCAGAAGAATAAATTTTCAATGGAAGAAAAATGGTAGCGGTAGTTCAAATTTCCTATCCAACTTGTCTTCCTATTTGAATCCTAATCACAAATTAAAGATAACTCTAATCTCTTAAACCGAAATCAAATATCATCTTAAACAATCTCCACCTAACTTCTGCGCCTATAATTAATAATTTCAAAACATTATATAAACCCAATCGCAGGAGTTCATTCTCCTTCCAAATCACGTCCCAGAATCTAACCATGGATAGCAGAATATCATGGTCAGAAATGGAGATAAACTGCTTGGCTGAAATCTTCATGAAGCTTGGCCTCGACGACCTCACCCTCGTCGTCCCCTTCGTCTGCAGATCATGGCTCGCCGCCGTCCGGCATCCTCTCTGCTGGAAAAAACTTGACTTCCGGCGAGTCGACGTTCTTCCATGGAGCAATTTCTCCAAAACCTTCACTTTTATTTACTCCCTTCCTTACTTCTCTTTCACATACTTCTTAAAACTAGCCGTTAAGAACAGCAGGAGTTCTGTAACTGAGTTAAGGCTTCCACTGAAATTCACTTCCTCAGAGGATCTGAAGTTCATTTCCAATGAGTAAGTTCACTTTAAAAAATTATGATTCATGAATTGAATTGTTCTAATTATGAAGAGATTCTACTGCTTTAGGTGTCCAAAGCTGAGGTCTGTTGCTCTGCCAATTCTCAACTCCGATGATGAAGCGATGATTTCAGAACTTGTATGCAAATGGAAAGATCTGGAACGGCTAGAACTGAAATTCAGCCCTTCGAATTTGCCTGAATTGCTGAAGAACATTAGCCTTCGCTGTAACAAGTTTTCGGAGCTAATTATTTCAGGGGAGATCAGAGAAGAGGACGCCATGGCGATTGTTAGTTATGTTCCACAGATTAAGAAATTGGACTTGAGCGGATCTTATCTATCTAAAAAAGAGCTGCTGAATATAGTGAAAGGCTGCAAACAGTTGCAGGAATTGAATGTGAATGGATGCATTGGTTTTCAAGGAGATGACTCAGAGATCATAGCTAAGGTTTCCGCCATTAGAGCTTTCAAGTGCGAGCGCTGCAAACTCTATTTGGAAGATGCTTATGAGTGTGGTGATTGGAACAAAAACTTTTGTTTAAACGGATATATTTTCTGATTATCGACTGCTGCTAAAATTTCAACTTTCTGATCTTGATAGATAACGCCCTTTTTTTTTTTTTCTTTTTTGGGAGAAAACCCACTCAAGGGCCCAAGAAACCTACAAGAACCTGCAAGGAATAAACAAAACAACAACCTCCACGAAGACAAAAACAACACAACCCAAAATCTACTAGAACAATTAACAACCAGAACCCTCAAATAACTAAAAAATCCAGCAAAATCCGCCGTGCGGCAGCTCCAATCCAACAAAACATGAACAGAAAAGAAAAGAAAACCAAAATAATTTCCTTTTGGCTTTTCTACGTTTACGAATACCAGCTTTTTTGAAAGAACCATCCTCAGCAATACTGATAACATTTAGGTCATAAATTCTCTTAGAATCAACATCTTCCTTAGCATCAAAGTCCTATATGGAGTTCTGGTTGGATACCCATTGGATACCTATGTTTTACTCTGTCGGCTTTGCCCACCCACGCCCACCCATGGTGACTATCAGGATGCCGATCGTATCCACCTATACCCACCCGCTTTCTATACTTTTTGAACGCAGTCTGTTACATACTGATTGTTTTTTAGGCTTATTGCCCTTTACTATGATGCAAACTTTCAAGAATCATATCAGAATTTACTGTAGTCGCAGCATGGTTAAGTGCTGCACACTACGTAGTGAGGATTGCAGTAATATAAAATATACAACGATTTGTAATGTAGATCGATTTATCCCCCGATGCATGTTGAGTACCCACCCACAAAGTCATGGGTGTATCCATACCCATTGGCAAAGCATAGAAGTGAACCCCAACAAGGCCATCTCTCTCTCTCTCTCTCTCTCTCTCTCTCTCTCTCTCTCTCTCTCGTGTCTATCTATTAAACTTCATTTGAGATAGCTTTCTTATTGATTTACTTTTCATATTACAAGGGCAATTTTTATTGACTACTATTATTTTTGCTACATTCAAATTAATTTTGTGCTTGGAAGCTGTATTTTACAACAGCTTTTAAAAATTTTATTTCCTCCGTAATAGTTTTACAATCATTTTTACAAAAAATTATAACTGTCTTAGGCAGGTCATTAGTGTAAAAAAAGCAAGAATTACTTTTTTACTATGAACTGGACAGAAAAATAGTGATGAAACATAAATTTCATCAAGAGATAAAGAAGGATTTTCTTTTTCTAAGGATATATTTAAGACTGCATTTGTTTTTAATAGATGTATTAATTTAATATATCATTTAACTAGTTTTATTTTTTATTTTTAAAACGAAGTCAATTAATTTTTAAAAGCAAGCACTCAAAATAATTTTGATATATTTCAAATTTTTAAAAAATAAGTATTATCATCAACCGCTCCCACTATGAACCATTGTTGCCGGCCGTCAATGACAACCATCATCATTATCATCATCGCCTTGCTAGATGCCATCATTTCCACGCCGCCCATTATCATTACCATTTCTATTTAAATTAATCAACATATTTGATATTTTTAAAAAAATTATGATATCAAATATATTATATTTTATATCAAAAATATAAATAAAATAAAATGAAGAAAACAGTCTAAGAGCACCTTGGATACAATTGTTGATTTCTTGTTTAGTTTCATTAATGCTTTAAATGCATTATTTAATATGACAATGAGAGCTTGTAGGCCCTTGCCCAACATAATTTGGGCCACAAACTCCGATATCCTCCAATGAAGGTTGTTGCTCCAAGTGGCAAGGCCACGAATTCAAATCACATCCTTTCTAAGGAGCAATTATTATATATGGTGTCCGAATGCGTTCAGAAACCAATAACCACGCGCCATGTCACCTAAAACTCAGTATTTTTGACTCGTTATTGCTCGGTATACATTCGGACTGTTCGATTTTTGACCGGATGTAATAATTTCTCCTTTCTAAGGTCGATGTATATTATATACATCTTGTGTAGAGTCCGAATGAGTCCCGACTACGCACATGTACACAGGCTATGTATAGGCGGCGTGATCTGTTTTGATTAGTGTCCAGATGTATTCGGACTCCGTGCATGTACGCAGTATGGGTACAGGCAACGTGACATATTTTGATTGGAGTCCAAATACAAGCTATGTCTAGACTCCGCATAGAATTATTTATCCACACGAGAAATTATTCTATGCGGAACATGAATGATTGTTGATAGGCAAAGGAAAAATAATGATTAGACGAGAGCTTCAAATGGAAGCCCAACAAAGCCATTCTCATAATGAGTGAAAGAAACACTTAATTATTAAGACCAGCACGGCAGCACGTAATATGTTTGCATATTACAAGTAGTTCATTATTCAAGAAGTGAATCGTCTCTCCCACAATTCCTAGCAGCCACTAGGAACTCAAAACCAAAAAAAAAAAAACTATTGTAAAAACAAACTAAAAGTAAACTCTAACCCTCGGCAATCTCCCCCGGCCTTAAACAGCCCAAAACCCCCTAATCTTCTTCATTACAATCTTCTTCCCTTCATTGATTTTGTAGTTAGCAAATTATTGGCTGATGAGAGTTGCGTCATTGAAATGCTTAATATCCTAAATTATTAAGTTCAACAAAAATCTCAATAGTCTCAATCACAATAACGAGCTTATGAGCCTCCATAATATCATAATGTAGTTGTTACATCTGCTGCTTCCACATTTGATTCCCGTATTTATTACTTCCAAAAGTTTCCCACCATGCAACCATGTGCTAATGTCTGCTCCAAATTCGTAGCCTCAAATTCTTCAAGCATATCTCCTATTTAGTAATTTGGCTCTTCATAATTTATTTCGAGAAAAATATATCAGAATGGTCTCTCAATTCTTTCTGAGGGATCTTTGAGGGACCAATTTGGTCTCTCAATATCCTAAAAAAGGATATTTTTTTTATCTTGACATTTAATTGTATAGTTGATGTTATTAAGTGTGAGAGTAATTTAGTTATTTTTAATTAAAATATTTAATAAATATAATTTTATTATTTTTAAAACGTTTGTGCTAGCAACAAGCAACGAAATTGTTCCATATATTCCTGCTCCGAATCCCATAAATCTGAATTTGTTATTGCATGTAGATATTGACATGCAGTGATTTTTTTTCTCTTTTAACGGATTGGTGGGGTATTGAATAGAGCAATCAGAAAATGCGAAAAGTTGATTTCATTTAATAGAGCAATCAGAGAATGCAAAAACTTCCAAAATTTGGTTAAATTCTGTGCTTCAAAAGTTTCATTCAGAAAATCGTAATGTTTCAGAAGTATCATTAAATGAGATTTTTTTTTTTTGAAAGTGTAAACCTATGAAAAGAAAAAAGAGATCTGATTAGATTAACATAGCAATCAATGGTTGAACAACTTCCTGGACTTCTCCATGTCTCTTCTTAGTGTGTGTTCTCTTATCACATTCACATGTTTTGCTATTGTGTCCACAAGCTCTACATTTATGACAGTGAAGTTTCACATTGGCTCTCTCTAACTTTTTTGGGAGTGAATGAAATTATTCTTCATCAATAGTTCTTATTTGTATCTTCGATAGCCTTCCCCTCTTTGCTTTATTATACTTTGGTGGCAATAGTGGTATCATAGTACTCATTGGCCACTCATTAACACTATTCAAAGACTTTATGTTACACCAATAACTTCTCATATAAGTAGGTGCGACGAACAACGATGAATCCATGGCTAATTTTTTGTGGTGAAAAAGGAATAACTAAAATTAAATGAAGTCGAAACCAGCAAACTCATGAAACGTTATAACAGTTACTGCGAGACAACTATGTGTCGCACCTAAGAAGTTAACGGAAGTGTTGCAATCAACGATCCCAATCGAATGAAGCTATCTAGATTGTCAGATATGGTGTTCGACGTGATTGACTATTAGTGCTTGATCGATGGCTTGTTAGGGCTTCGGAGGGTCGCTAGAGCTGTGTGAGCGGTAGCCAACAAGTGTGCGGGACTTCGAACTGAATTTGATGTGCTCTGCGAGATGGTGGGTCGAATTGATGCTGACACTCGCTACGCTGCAGGATGCAGGAGTCATATCTAGCAAAGGTTTTGATGCTACGAGAGTGTTCGAACAATACACTATTGCATAGAAAAGCTTATGCTTTTTTTCAATTAAACCCCGTGGTGCTTTTGGTAGATCCAAATTTGCCATTAAAAATTTAACGTGAGGATCATATAAGTCTTGTTTTGAACAGTTGAGGTACCAAATTGATTCCTCAAAAGAATTGATGACTATTTTTGTTTCTCATAAAAAGTTGAGAGACCATTTTGATATTTTTTCTCATTTTATTTCTTTATCTCCTACTAATCTTATATCTATCTTGACTGCAAATGGTACTTCTATGCCCTGGGCAGATATAATTTTTATTTTCATGAATAAACTTTCACTTCATTTATGCCACATTTGTACCATTTGATTTATTTCATTCTGGTGAATAGAAGCTTCCCTAATTCTTATCAAGGATACTCTTTGTAATAAGTGTGATTCCTCATAATCTAATTCAAAAGAATTGTTCTTTTTATATTTTAATAATAATGCCAGAGCCATTTAATTTTTTTTATCAATAATAAATATAAATAGAAACAACTACTAGCTAAAACATCAATATTCACATCTATATTCATTTTCAAAAATCATACACTGCTCATAATATAGATAATCATATCACAACAACTCTATCATAAGTATAAAATAATAATTAAAATAACAAGAAAAGAAACCTCAACCTGAAGGATCCTAATCAATCTCACATTTTTGCTCTCTTGCCCGCCCTAACCTGAAATCATTTAACTACATGTAATGAGTTAAACTGCCCAACAAGAAACTAAATCTTACAACTAACCTCAACGCATGGTAGAGAACCAATATGTATATCAATAATCAAATCATAACAATAATATACACATAATCATAAGGCAATACAATAGAGTAATATGTAAATCAATATATATGTTAAATCATTAAAATAATCATCATATCAATACTACAATTAATAGAAAAATTGTATCAATCATCAAATCAAA